GATTCAAAAATACACAAATCCTTGTCGGCGCAGTAGCCTAGTGGATAGTGCACCGACAAAAGGTGCAGTAGCATGTCAGGGCCTCCCGAGTTCGAATCCCAGCTCGAGGACATTTCCCAACCCTACCTCTCTCTCTCTCTCTTTCTCTTTCTCTTTCTCTTTCTCTCTCTCTCTCTCTCTCTCTCTCACTCACTCTCACTCTCATACACACTCCCACTTTGCTTCATTTCTTATTACTGTCCTATCTAATAAAGGCAAAAAGGCCAAAAAAAAATACACAAATCCAATTTGGAAACACGTTATGTAAATATGCAAATACAATTAGTAAATTCAAAAGATGATTCAAAAATACAAAGATCTTATTCGTAATTCAAAACCCAATTTATAAATACACAAATCCTATTTGTAACTTCAAAACACACTTCACAATATACACAAATCCAATTCATTTGCCAAAAATATTTATTTTTACTTGTGAATTTCTGAATTGTGTTGCATTTACGAATTGTGTTTTGAATTTACAAATTGAATTAGGTAAATATGAATTGTGCTGTGCATGTATGTATTATATTTTGCAAATGTATTATTTATGGATGTTAACAATGCTATTGACACGGTCACCACAAAAACCTATTTTTGATTGAGGAACATCTGGATTTAAATATCCTAGATTAATTGTCAACCCACTGTGAAATGTGGAGTGAGAAAATCCATGATTCTGTTTACCCAAGGTTTAGAATGACCCAGGATTAACCTTTTCAGAATGAAAAGCTCTAATGACTTCAACACACCCATAAACCTCCTTGGCTCAAATAAACAGATGGCAATTGTGTTAGTTACTGCCAGGGATGTTGTTATACTGCTACCAGTGCTAGAAATAAAATCCCCTTCTATCCTCAGTTTTCCCCTTTAATAAGGGCAAAAATTGTTCTCTACAAGACCCGATAGGTGTTGCAAAGTTAAAGCACATGTTTTTTAGCCAAAGCCTCAGGCAAGGTGCCACAGAGGACACATAGAAAAAGGGTTCACATTAAGTCACCATTCCTTCCATGTGGCAACTGCACCTAAGGGACAGTTATCGCCTAGTGAACAATGACGCCAGTCATCAAATAAACAAAGTCTTGGTTCAGAATTCAGCAAATGCAGTTGAACTCTAAGATGATGTGCTTTGGATTTGTTTGGGTTATTTGTGCACCTGTACACTGCAGTCTATGTATATGGCTGACATAATGGCATGCTGTCTCACCCACTTGCTCAACATGGCCAGCCTCTGCTGCGCGTCCCATTACTGACACCATGCCTGGAGGACCTGTTGCCCGTCCACAGTCAGCTGCACAAGGGATAACGTTTCAGCCTCTTAATGCTCCTAACAAGCATGTTCCCCTTGCAACAGAGTGTCAATACCCATACCCAAAGTCACCTCTCCAGACGTTCCTTCCACCAGGAAACACACCGAGCGAGCACAATTATCCGTTTTCATGTCTTATTGCAAACAGGATATGACGAGATATCACTTTGCAGAACACACTCGCTCCAAATGGCACAACGACAGGTTGTCATCAACCACTGAACTAACAGAGAAACAATCAAAATGCCAAATACTCATGTCTGACTTTATAGGTTGTTTAATCAAGGCTTCCCAGCAGCAAGTGACACAAACACAGGCCCGGTTGTGTTTTAACAACTTCCATCCAAAGAGACTGAACTACAGTGTCAGTTTCAGGTATTCTCTGTTTTGCTGGAACGCTTGTACATGTAGCTAATTAAATGGTAATGAGGATGGTGACTTCATAGACGTCATTAACCCTTCACATTTAAATAAATAAAACCTTCAACACAGTCTCATCCGAATGAAAGGATCATGTATTCATATCAACTACTTACACAAAACAAGCATAGTTGTAAGACAAATCATCTAATCTGGATTTTCAGCCATTCCCAGACAGGTATCTTGATCTAAACTAGTTTCTACAGGTTTCACCAAGTTAAATTTAAGACATTAAGACATTTTTAAGACCCTTATCAATTAAATTTTAGACGTATAAAGGGCTAAATGATAGGGATTTTTTTTCGAAATCTATATATAGATTTTCACTTGCCCTATATTAAAATTTTTTTAAATTTAGTACGTTTTATTGAATATAATATATTGAATAATATTTTTTTTGTTTGAATATTTCATTCATTTTCAAATATACCCATTCACAAACCCTATAACCCAGGGGTCTCATTTACGGCCTGCCCTCCTCCTCCCTTCAGCCTGCAACTGACATCAAAAATATAACGAGATTCGGCCTGCCAAAACATATTATTTTTGAACCTCTATCATTGTTGTTCATTCGCTTCTAGCCACTTGTGGTTTTGACCCGCCAACTAGTCGACATTAAAAGTACTGCATTCAGATTAGTTTTACTTTCATTTTCTCTCACTGTACGATCGAGAGTAACACACATTTGCTTTAATTCTGTGGCTGATTTAAACATAAAATATATGTCTGTAAGTGCTCTATTTTTACTACAGCTCTATATTTATTAATATTCAAGGCTCGTTTGATTACCACTTTTATACCACCTGTATTTTGTTGTATAAACACTTCTTCATGGCTTACACGTGCTTATTAAGATTTGCATAAAAAAATTGTACTATTAGTTGCATTGAACTTGTTAAAGTAAATGTGAATATGTACATACTTTCCCCATCTTTGTTGTAGTTTTACAAAAAAAAAAAAAAAAAAAAAAAAGATATTGAGAAAATAAATTACCAGTGAAGTCTCTTAAGTTACCCAAACTGCTTTCTGCTGTTTTTACGTCATTGGGACAATATAATTAGTTGGGACAGAATAAAAATTTTTATGCATATTAATTGTAGTACTTTAGGTACTATATCAATTTAAACTACCCCTTCAATATGTACAACAAGAAACAAAAAGGTAGGAGTTTTGACTGCATATACTATCTGGAGGAATGACTCAGTGTGTGTCTACACGCAACAACCACAGATATATTTCAGCAACTGATGTGTGACGCGATAAACGTGCTTATTTGCATTATCAAGGGTGTCAGGTAATGCTTTAAATATAATCGTCATGTATGTTGTCCTAAGATGCATCGATTATGTCAGGTTTCGTGTACTTGAATGTTAAAACGGCCCTCCTACATTGTCAGTCACTGAAATGCCCCCCCGCCAATTTGAGTTTGAGACCCCTGCTATAACCCTTACCAAGAATAGAGCAAAACATAGATGTAAATTACTTCAGTCTTCAATAATAATAATTTAATATAAAAACATAGGTCAGGTCAGTATGCTCAGCAGTAAATAAACTGAGGATTTTTTAAGCAAATGTTACTGTAAGGAAAGTAATTAAAAGCTATTTTTAATATAAAGTTTCATTGAGATGGAATGCTGTAGATTGAATGGGTGTTAATGACCAAATTGGGTAGCTATACATGAACAAAGGGAAATTTAGACCAGGTAAAAAAAGATTTAAGACCTAAGAACAACATTTCAGTAGATTTAAGACTCAAGGCCTAACATTTTGCTTTTGAGATTTAAGACATTTTAAGACTTTTTAGGACCCCATAGATACCCTGAACAGGAATGTAACCCTATATTATGCAAAAATCCAGGCCTTGAGTGGTTAATTATAACTCACTGGATATCCTCTCCTCAAATCCCATATGAAGCTTTGGGTAATCTGTCCTTTTCATATACATTTAAATATATACATATCAGCAATGAGTCTCCAGAGGAGTGAATAATACTTTTCCATTTACACTGGACTGCGGCCAATCCATCAAAGATGATACGTACTGTAGAACATAAGCCACACTTTTGTTGCGATCACAAACTGTGCCTCACCGAGTCCATTTTGAGTGCTTAATGGAAGCCATCACATTACTATCAAATTAAATGAATGTGAGGAAGTAATTCCTATATTCTGTACATTCGACAGCAACAGGTCTGAGTTGTTTAGGAAAGGCATTCAAACAGTAAAAATGTGTTTGCACCGCAGTCATGGGGATGGCTGTTAGTTAAAGATTATCTATGTCCCTATGTGACCGTGCTCATTATTAATGTGCTGGATAGGTTTTATTTTGAGCATAGGAATCATATTTTTAAAAGCCTAAAATTATTATGATAATAATAAGCCTGACCAATCAAGAAACTGAAAAAAAGATTTCTGTATGGGTTGAATTTAATCATTTTAAATTTAGTAATGATTAACTTAATCTGTGTGTTTAATTGTTTACAACCCCTTAACTTAATTTTTTTAGCACATCCAAGGATAATTTTAACACAATTTTTGAATGTTTTTCAATGTAGGTATTTCAAGTAATTCATAAAAGCTGCTATATTGCCTTCCAGACCAACCAGTGTATAAATACAAACTGTCTAATAGCTAAATTCATAATTGCATCTAGTGTCTCAGTGACTAGTTTACAAGGTTACAGAAGTGATCTGGTATACGTTTAAAAGGATTACAGGTTAACTGATTGCGTAAAGATTAACACATAGGCCTATCTCTAATTCTTGATTCACATCAAATCCAAATCTGAATTTTGCCACTAACAATCCACGGACATAAAATCTCCCAGAATGCAAAATTAATAGAAGAAAACACGACTAATCCATATTCACAGCAACGTCATGGATTGTTTACCCATTTAAATGAGAGGCCTATAAGAAAGGCTATAAGTTAACTTGTTCACACGGATACAGTGTATTTACAAATCTCTTGATTCCTTTAAGCTTAAATGTGCAAATGTCATGTTTTGGGCTGTGTGAATCATCACGAGCAGTTTAATCATATTGACTGCTGTTTGCTGCAATACTGTCACGCAGATTCATCGTATTCACAACAACGAATCACTTTATCATTGGCAATCCACTGCCATCCAAATGTCATCTAGTTATTAAGATAGCAGCAAAGGACGCAGATAACACGAACATTTAATTCCAGTTAATGGTGCTTTTGGTGGAGAGGGGATGAGATGCGTTACCTTGTTTTTGATGTTGCAATGGCAGCAGACAGTCCACAGGTACTTGAGGGTCCTCCACAGGAGGATGATGAAGAGACCCCCGAAGAACGTCACCATAGATGAGGCGAGGAAAGCCCACCACATGCGCTGACCATTGTTGTCACAGGGTACGTCTGGTGTGAACGGGATGATCACGTCCATCTTCGATATAGAGACAGAAGAGTCCGGATTTTTATTAAAATTGATATTATTACTCATTCTAGAGCTGCTGCTGCCATAGGATCCGTTGCCATCTGCCACAGCTAGCATTGAGAAGCTTTGGAGAGCTCCTGCCAGCGCCCCCAACCCCAGCCATCAGCCATATTGCTTCAAATATCCCTCTCGTTTCTTCTCTGTGTTTCTATCCACGTCTACTCAGAATAAATAATATTTTTGTGCGAGAAACGCGGCAGCTTGGAGAGGGTGAGGAGAAATCGCGCGTCCGTTCCCCCTCAGCGCGAGACATTTAAATCCGCATTAATGACGACTTCATATTTTCATTTCTGATGGGCTTTCTTCGTCTTTTTCCATGTCTTCGAAATAAAATGCTCTTTATTGCCAATAATCGCGTCGTTTATGTCAGTTTCGGCGAGAAAGCAAAGGATTCGTGACAGAAAAGCGGACAAACGGACGGCTCTCTTCAGGCAGCCTGTGTACGTCTAAGCGCTCTGTCGTCCATCCAGTGACAGCGGTGTCTAACGTTAATCGATATTTCTCTCATAAACGCCAGCTTAATCAATGTCTCCAAAGCTATTCAGCTGGGAACCTAGCAGCTCTTTGTAGTCGTGTGAAGATCGGTGGAAGGTGCCGTTCAAATATCGGCGTTTCGGCGATTATTCCGCTCTCAATGACACGTCGCTGTCCCCATTCACTTTCCTCAGCTGATCCAGTCAGTCCGTCAGATCTGCTCCACAGATTGTTGGGGAGATTTACAGGTAGGAAGGCGGAGCCAACCCGTTATAATAAAGATGGTCGAAGCGCTGAAAGAGGGAGCATATGGATATTATTTTTATTACGCATATATCAACAAACATCTTCATAAATATAAAACATTATTTAAACGGTTTAATAATATTTATACATAAAATTTACACAACTACACATGTAGCCTATCTGGTGTTTATTTGCAATGTTTTAAAAACAATCAATAGCGTGACTACAGTCTTCGATTTTAAGCTATATCACCAGTGGCGTAGCGGACGGGCCCGCAGGGCACGCACCGCGGGGGGGCCCCGCGTGATTAGGGGGCCCCGCGTCGTCGCGATTTTCAATAAACTGTTGGGAACAACTGTGGTCGGAACCAAAGTTCACACGTCTGTGTTCTCTGAACACCTCTCAAGCGGTGGACTACTTCATTCTGATTGCTTGCCGCCAATGTTGCCAACTTAGCGACTTTGTCACTAGATTTAGCGACTTTTCAGACCCCCCTAGCGACTTTTTTGTGTGTTATTGGAGATTTTTTTAGACTGTCATTTGTCCATACTGTACCGTCCCTACTCTTCTCAACGAGCTGCGTGTGATGCCGCCGACCCCTCCCCCGCCTCACAGCACTGACAGGCGGCCCAGTCAGTCCTCTACAGCAGCCTCTCCCACCTGCAGCCCGAGAGCAGATCACCCCCCTGCGTACCGACGACAAATGATTTAGCACAGGCAGTGTGAAGGTTTTTCCCTTGTACAGTCAAACCGATCTACTTCTACTTTATTTTAACAATTTAATTGGACCGTTTATTCTTTTCTTGTTCACAATCACAGATATTTTAGTGACAGTTTCTGAACTTGTCTGAGTTTATTACATATGAGAGATTACTGCACATTCACTACACATCTATAATGACATACTGTATTCAAACAGCAATACATTTAATTAAATAAACGTGCTTTTATAAAGTGTAGTGCAATTATAAATACCCCTTTATTAACCATAGGCTGTTAAACAGAAACGGTAGAACGCGATGACGTCAGTGATATGCAAATTGACGTATGACGTATCCCCCCCCACCCTTCATCAGGGGGCCCATCAGCGATCCCTGCAGGGGGGCCTCCGCATTTTGCGCTACGCCACTGTATATCACACATGTAATCGTGCTAAGCACTTGCTTTGAACGAACTTAACTAACAGTTACATAAATAATAGTTCAATATACCGGATATATTAATGTTTACCTGTCAAAACGGACCATAATTCGTATATTTCTTCTCCGTCAAACGAATGGTGCGAAAACGCCAAAGCAGCAGCGTGTTGTTTAATCAACGTATCACCTGCAAACCTGGGCTGGAGTATAAAATTAGCTATTCATGTTTGGAATGGAGCCAGAAAATCCCAATCTCCCATTCAAACGACTAAAAACGTGCCTTAAAAATTCCACTTCGCGTTTTACGTACGTTATTTTAAACATTAAGACTAACACGTGCGATATGACTTATAATAAGTAGATTTTTCTTCAGTGCGTATTTATGTCTAGCCAGTAAATAAAGTGGAAATACAAAATAGTTCAGTTACACTGATTGACTTTCAGTATGAAAACACGAAAAAAACTTGAATAGTTTATTGCTTTATATAGTTAATAGCAATGTTTCTTCCAGCCCCTTTCAATTACAACATATCATTTGTTACTAGGCTACCATAAGAGTAAAACTAATAGAGAACCACAATATTAATTTCTTTATTTTATATGGGAATATTTTATTTACAAACACAAACAAAAATTCTCTAATTCACAGCCTTCTTTTTTCACATTTTTAAAATTAAAATTAATGTATTTATTAAATCTCTCCGATTAGTCAAAAACGAGAAAAGTAATAGATTCTTGGAATCTTATGATAATTTTTTTTTTAGAAAATACCATACACATGTCTTCCTTTCGTCTTGTTGTATTTTTATTTACTTATCTAATTATTTATTTTATTTATCTATCTTCTTTTGTATTCCTTTCCTTGTTTATTTATTTATTTATTTATTAATTTTTATTTATTTTTCTTCCTTTGTATATTTTATTATTTTTCTTCCTTCTTTTTCAACATTTTTAAATTAAAATGAATGTATTTATTAAATCTCTTCGATCGGTTAAAACAAGAAAAGTAATAGATTCTTGCAATATTATGATAATCATTTAGAAAATATCACAGATGAATAAGTCTTCTTTTCCCCTTGCTGTATTTGTGTTATTCATTCATTCATTCATTCATCCCTTTATTAATCTGGGGTCACCACAGCAGAATGAACCGGCAACTTATCCAGCACATGATTTACGCAGCAAAAGCCCTTATCCATACACACTCATTCACACACATACACTTTGGACAATTTAGCCTACCCAATTCACCAATACCACATGTCTTTGGACTGTGGGGAAAACCAGAGCACCCGGAGGAAACCCACAGGAACACGGAAAGAACATGCAAACTCCAAATAGAAATGCCAACTGACCCAGCCAAGACTCGAACCAGCGACCTTCTTGCTGTGAGGCAATTATACTACCCACTATGCCACCATGTCGCCTGTGTTATTTATTTATTGATAATTTTTCTTCATTCTTATTTTTTTTCTTATTTATTGATTGATTTTTTCCTTCTTATTTGTTTTTCCTCCTTTCCTCTTGCTGTATTTATCTATTTGTTTATTTATTTATTTTTCTTCCTTCTTATTTATTTATTCCTTTTCTTAATGATCTGTTCTTTCTTTTTTATTTATTATTTTCCTTATTTATTTCTTCCTTCTTATTTATTTTTCTTCCTTCTTTTTTACTTTTTTAATCGAAATTATTGTATTTCTTAAATGTCTTTGATTGGTTAAAACAAGAAAAGTGAAAAATTCTTGCAAATTACGATAATTATTTAGAAAATATCACAGATACATAAGCCCTCTTTTACCCTGCTGTATTTGTGTTATTTATTTATTTATTTCACTATTTTTCTTCCTTCTTATTTATTTTTCTTCCTTTATTATTTTATTATTTTTCTTCCTTCTTTGAATGTTTTCAATTGAAATGAATGTATTATTTAAATCTCTCCAATTAAAAACAAGAAAAGTGATTGATTGTTGTAATATTATGATAGTTATTTTAAAAATATCATGTATAAATAGGTCATCCTTTCCTCTTGGTGTATTTGTGTTATTTTTATTTATTTTATTACTTTTCTTCCTTTTTAATTGTTTTATATGTATTTATAATATAATTTAGCATGCTCTGTTATATTATCATTGTTATCATTGTCATTTTCCTGCCTAGATTCGATTTTGTGTGTTTGTTATTAAAGCATAATAAAAAAAATGTACTTGTGCAAAAAGATTTTGCACTTACCAGAGGCTTTAACGTCAAAATATTAGCAATAATTAAAAATTAAATTTGTCAAATTATATATTTAATTTTAATATAACTTGCAAATGGGAACATGTAGTATGAGTCTATAGCCAGACCTTTTGAGTTTTTATGAAGGGAAGTACAAAAATCCTACATTACATACATTTTGATGGCATATTATACGTTAGCCAGGGCTGCACGATATTGGAAAAATCTGACACTGCAAAAAAAATTTCCCTGTAATTTATATTGCAATATAAAAAAATTTCACTTGATGACTTAACTCTGTTTGGAAAGCTATTCATTTAGATTGATGGGAATGATTTTGTAGGCGAGTGAATCATTTATATGTCTATATATTCATTCATTCATTTTCTTGTCGGGTTAGTCCCTTTATTAATCCAGGGTCGCCACAGCGGAATGAACCGCCAACTTGTCCAGCACATTTTTACGCAGCGGATGCCTTTCCAGCAGCAACCCATCTCTGGGAAACATCCACACATACACACACACATACACTACGAACAATTTAGCCTACCCAATTCACCTGTACCGCATGTCTTTGAACTGTGGGGGTAACCGGAGCACCCGGACCCGTGAACGCAGGGAGAACATGCAAACTCCACACAGAAATGCCAACTGAGCCGAGATTCGAACCAGCGACACAAACACAATGGAGCAAAGATTGCGTGACAATTCGTGATTTTCTGAGGAATCTAACAGTATTCAGTTAAATTAATTGAATAATTAAATGTAAAATAACAGTAAAGGTCTTTATTACTTAAATAATTCAATAAAAATAATGTTTATTAGTTACAAACCTTACAATTTCTTGTGCATACAAATTACAAACTTTCATTATGGTTCAATTCTACAGTGACTCCACAAATCTTGTGTTTTAACCTGTGTTTCTGGTCAACTATAAACCCAACTTAACATTGCATATCTTGCGATGAGACTATTGTGCATTGCGATTTTGATGCTGAAACGATATATTGTGCAGCCCTAACATTAACAATTATCCCCCTGTTTATCTCTGCTGTAATAGTGGCCATTTCATCATTTTAATCTAAAATTGTCTCAGATAAGAAGTCTAAGGTGACTCTTAAAAAATTAACTAAACACAAAAATGTTTAACTTTAAAAACTTTACAAATGTTTCTGGCATGATTTGGTGGTAGGTTAGTCTGATCTTATTGGGACTCTATTGAATGGTGTTAAGATTAAAGATAGTTCACCCAATAATGAATAAAACGCTCACCATTTACTTGTTCCAGAATTGTTTGACTTACTCTCTTCTATTGAACATAAAAAAAGTTTGTTTTAAAGAAACAATTATCAGCTGTAGTTTAAAGAGAACCCTGGGCAAAACCCCATATACCAACCCAAGCTTATTCTGAAAATGTACCTCTATATAAGTTTCTGGAGTGTGCAATATATGTCCCAGGAGCTATGTTTTTGTTTTTTGCAGTTTTTTGCGGTTATTTTTTCACTAATCCACCAAAAGCCGCTGTGTATGCTTTTTTCAGACCTCAAATCTCAAATTTCTCAAATCTCAAATTTCTCTCACAAGTGCCATTTGTGACCGCTGTTCTTGCATAAATCAACCAGAGGCCACTGTCGACTGACTGATTGACCAATCGACTGACCCAT